TTTTGCTAAGTACAGGTAATACCTCCACTGATTATATAATAAACTTTAATTTCTATTACTTAGTTTTTATTTCTTTATCTTGACAGTAAACCCCAAAATATGGAATTGATTAAACCATGCAATAATTTAACTTTTAATGCTGAGCCTGAAACAATCTGTGATTATCAAGAATTTACAAATATAAACGAGGATGCATTTATTATAAAGACTGAGAATAAATTTAATGTAGAACGTGTGCATTTATGGGATGCAATTTTGGAGGAAACAAGTTCTCCTAAGTATATTAAAAATACAGTTACTACTACAGAAAGTCAATCTGTAGCTGTGTAGCATATAATGTATCTTTACGATTTTGTTTTATATAATTTATTACAATTTTTGTAAATATCGTTACTTCAATGCATTCTTAATATTTATTTCTAATTGTTTTTAATTTTTAGTTTATATATATAAATGTGTATGTATTATTTGTTTAATAACAAACGTACTATAATTTTGTAATTTTGTGTGTATGTGAAAAAGTTTTTAAAAGTATTCATATAAATTCCTATATATTAAATAAGATTAATATTTTGTATCTATTAAAAAGTAAATTTTGTTCAAATTTTTTATGACTTTTTTTTAGCATATTGAACACATTGAACATATGGAAATATATCTTATTACGTATTATTATATACAATTATCTGCATTTAATTTAGTTTAATCTATTTCAATTTCATCCAAACGTCCACGCACACGATTCTTTCTTTTTGTCTTTTTTGTTGGTGAAGGCAAAAAGCTTTCCAGAAACTCAATAGTATTGTATATTGTTTGAGAGCTCACTTTGCCTATATACTTCTTGTCGAAATAAGTAATCGATTGGTCGGCACATGTACATGGTGTAGCAAGCAATGGAGCAAAAGCCTCAACATCATTACTTGTCGAATTGCTACCTATAACGAAAAAAGTACATTTAGGTTAGGTTGAGTTACGTTAGAGTGGCAATATAGTGTCCGTTCTGATATCATAAATGAGATACTGTCCGTATGCTATTTCAAATAGATGCGAAAAAACCACCCTAAAGGTAGAGGTGTGAAACAGCTAGCATACGAACAATTTGAAGAAAGAACTCTCCTTAAATACAAACCAAATATAGGACGAAAGCATTCCTTAATTTGAATCCATTTCTTGCAAAAATTCCTTATGAATGAATCTGTTTGATTAAAGATAGATTTCGCAAGAGAATCAACGCGCAACTGCAATAAGGGCGGTATAAAAGGCCATTTCCCTTTAGCAGCAAAAAAACAGACAATATCTATAAGTAAGTAAAGCATAAGCATATTAAAATCACATGCTATCTTTTATATATACTTTTAAGTTAGTATATATATATATATATATAATAAAATTATAGGTTTTAAAAATTGACCACTCACAAGGTACATGAAATATATGTATGAAATTGCGTCGATCCTCAAGTCTTGACACCGCAAAAATGCCTTGTGCCTCTTTGGCATTGGTTTCTCTTGGTTTTGCTTGATTTCTGTCTGCTTCGGTCAGACCAAAAGGTATTTCCTCAACTCTAACACTTTTAAGAAATGCATCAATTATTAAATGTTGAGAAAATAATATTAAAATTATGAATTTATTTAAAGAATATTTTGTTTTTTTGTTGTAAAAAATTAACATTTTCCGTGGTATAGAAATCCCTACTAATAGCACTGCTTTAATAAACGGCTAAAATACTACTAAAATCATGTATGACAAATATGCATTATCCTGCGGGATAGTACATGCAGATATCCTGTACTATTGTTATTTAGTTCATTGATTTTAATTGCTGACAACAAATGCGAACTTTGCGTGTTGTGTTGTGCTAATTTGTGTTGTTTCAATTTTTCCTGGTTTGGGTAGTAAAATAAAAAGTTCTGGATGTACCCGTATTAAAAATGAAAGGACATTGAACTTAAAAGTTTTTATTTTAAGTATACAATAATGAATTTAACTGAAATACAAATGAATTTATGGGTCAATGGATTCTATAAAATATAAAATATATTATTCCAATCATTGATCGTTGGAATAACAAATGAACAAAACTTTTATTTTGAATAACAAAAATCAAGTACAGTGCTGGATCGGGTGTCTAAATTTCCCCCAGAAGAACATTGTCTCCCCCATACAGCAAGAACTGTCCTAGCTCAATATGTGCCCTAACTGCAGCTCTTCTCCGCATGCTGTCGCCTAACTCTGTGCCTTCTGCGCACACTAACCTTCGTCTAATTAACTTTTAGACTCACCCCATGGAAGTGACTGGTTTTCTCCGCCTAAATTCGGGATAATGTTCAATATAAACCTCCCAACCTATTTCTCCACATCCTCCTTTCTGCTCCTTCATCTCCCTTATCCTCTACCCACCCACTTTCCTACTCATGTAATCGTCTTGTGTATCCTTTCATGTTATCTGCTTGCAGGTCCCAGCGGGTTACAACAACAACAATATCGGGTGTCTAAAGCGTGACTCTGTGTTTTTAATTTAGGAGCGAAAGTTTAACTCTTGGTGCTAATAGTATAAAAAATTGTGTAAAATTATATGTATTAAATTAATTTTAAAAAAAATTTTTAAGATTACTGATAATGGCTATTTGACAATATTCTAAATTACTATATTGTAGTCAAAAATATCAATTAATTAATAAATTAATTTTTTTTTTCATTTTTATTTGAAAATATTTAAGTTTATGATTGACTTTAAATAAATTTAATTGGAATCAAATTTAAATTTGTTTTTTTTTACATTAAAATAAATAAATTTAATTTCTGTTTTCTAATTTACTTCCTAAACTAAATAATAATTAGATTTCTTTGAAATACTAAATATCTTCAGACGTATATAAATATATAGTTATTGTATTATTCATATATTATACGATATGTGCTTGTAAATATATTTTAAATAAATTTGTAACAAAGCTTTAACATAGTTTTAATAGATATATCCGTTAAGGTAGTTATAAATTATTTTTAATAAATTAATTTTTACTTATAATTATTTAAGACTTTTTACCTGAACTCATCTATAAATTTTAAATGGAAACTAAAAGAAATTTATTTAGTCTAACAAAATTATTTGAAAATAAATTATTTACCTTTTTTCATTTAAGATAAGACCATCTTATTTTATGTATTAGCATTACATTTAAACAAATTTAATTTAATGAAGTTTATAATACAATAATTAAACTTTTTATTTGATAGAAGAACTAAAGTACTGCAAGTCAGTGATACTCAACCTAAAAGGTTTTGCGGATATATAAGTTTTATGTAGTCTGTATATTTTTTATTAGTTAAAAAATATAAAATAAATTGAATATATTTTTTCAAATATTATAATATTTGATTTTTATTTTAATTTCTTTGAAAATACTCTAAGAAATATAAATAGCATTTTAATGATCGGTGGTAGTAATGCCGCGGACTGGTGGTTGAGATACGCTGATCTAAGAAATAGTAATTATAGTCTGAATTAAACATTTATCAAACTAATAATCCTAATAAAATAATTGTATTTTTTTTTCTTATTATATATTTGGTATATTGTATTTTAAATATTAATAACAATTACAAATTATGTTAAATACTTTGTATTAGATTAAAATATGAAAAATGTTCTTAAAAAATAAAGGCACTTTGAGTTTGGCATTTAACGTCTTATCGGTTTCATGTTTGCTTAATGGAGTTATGGTACAAATACTACATTACAAGTAATTACTAACATTATCTAACATCAACATTATTAGTTCATTATTAATAATTAACTATTACTAATATAATTAACTAAAATAATACTTCATTTTCATTTTATTAGTTTAACAACTATTTTTGGTAGTTGCTGCATGTGGCAAACTTAAATCTATATTAGAACTACTATATTATGTATAACAATTATGAATATGTTTACAACAATGTTTATAATTATTATATATTTATTTCTAAACTTTAAATAATTTCTATTTCATTGCTACGCATTATCACAACGTAAAAGTTCATTCTCATGACTGTTTACATGGCCATTGTGTATGGCATTAGCAGGTGACACAATTAATTCCTTACGATTTTTAGCTAAAATTTTCTTCTTATCGTTTTTCTTTCGTTTCTGTCTTCGATGACAACAGCATATCACAACTGCAATGGAAAATGTTTTAAAAAATAATAATAATATAAATATTATTATATGTTATTCATAGCTATATACTTACTAAGCAGCACCAATATACCACCTCCAACACAACCAGCAATAAAAAACCAAGTGCTACGCGCTTCTTCCAGAGCCGCAGTACGCTTACAGCGCTCAAAAGTAGTCGATTTAATAGTTTCGTTGTAAGGCAATGGGCAAATATTAAGATCAAGAGAGTCTAAAAAAGTATATATATTTTTATGAGTTAAGTATGGATATATATATTCTATATATTAAACAATATATATAACAATATTATAGTCGTAGAATAACGCAGAGAATTTTTTAGATATAGATTTCAAAGAAAAATAATGTTTCATGTGTTGTTGTTGTTGTAATAACCCGCTGAGATTAGCCTGTGTAGTTTCTTTGGGGGGTTTTGAACGACATTTGGTGATCGAGGTCGACGAGTGGCTCACATGCAGCAAAAACTGTGCGAACACAATTGAGATCCGGATATAGCCATGTGCTAAACAGTTACTTGTCACGCATAAACACGTCCATTCCTAATGTGTGCAGCTCTATCCCCCATGACGTCGCCTATCTGCTCTCTTGTCTTACTGTACACACTAATTTAAGTCTAATCGACCTTTGGACTCATCCATATGAGGTAGCTAGGTTTATATGGCTGCAGCCTGATCGATTTCAATTATATCCTCCCTCTTTTTTTTCCATTATCCTCTGAACTCTAACGCCACACATCCACTCCCCTACCCATGTATGCGTCTTATAATCCTTATAGTTTATCTGTGGCTCCCGAACGTAGACTCGGCCGTTGTTGGACATCTCTAAGATTTGTTACATATTTGTTACATACCTTTATTGTTATATGTAATTAACAACAGCAAGTAGACACTCTTATATGTGAATTTAATCAAATAGCATTTCTTTATATAAATTACATTTATATAAAGATTACATTTATATTGCATTTTTAGTATAAATTAAAAAAAAATAATAACTTAAGAAGGTTAAGGAGAATAGTTCATAGTTTAATAATAGTAGAATAGTTCAATAATATATCAAAAATAAAAAAAAATTCATATAGACTTACGAGTAGATATGATTAACAAATAACTAAAGATAAAGCAATGAAAATTTTCGATAAGATTGGTAAGCACCAAAACTGTACAATCAGAAATCTCAGAAATCTGAGAAAACCTGTCAAAGAAGAAAGCTATGTCTTATTGACATTCGGACACAAAAACATTTTAATGAAGCTAGACTTGTCCTACCCTGTGGTATCTCCTGCAATGCGTGTCTCTCTCTCGAGGAAAGGACACCAGAACACCTGATGTGTCTGTGTCCAGGTTTGGCCAGATCGTTTAAGGATTTTAAAACAATTTATTTTTCAATTAACAAAGATGTTGAGAAGTCGGATCCGGAGAAACGGGAATTTTAAAAATAACGATATAGCAATTTATTTTTAATATAACTTACCTCTACAAATTGGTACAAATTTTGTATCTGCATCCACAAATCGCAAGTGATTATTAACTTGCTGACATGAACAAATTGACATATCTGTTTTAGTCAAATCAATACTTTTTAAATTGCACATATTGGCAAATTTACTCATAGTGAGTTCAGTCAAAGGATTTTTTGATATATTAACATGCCAGATATCTAAAATAAAATAAATGAATCAAATAAAAAGAAATGTAATAATTTAATTAATTACATACTTGGTACTATACCCAAGTCAGGCAGATCGTTAAGTGCACAATCAGCTAAGTTTATATATTCTAAGGGCGCTTGTATAGGTTTTTGCAAAGTCTTTAGGGAAAAAGAAAAAAAATAATTGCATATTATTATAGTTAAATATTCTAGTTTATTAACATATAACAGTTACCTCTAAATCTCTGTCTAAATATATAAGTTCATTACTATCTACATATAAATTACGTAGTGAGGGTAGTTGAAATATTTCTAATGGGATTGTCATGAGTGCATTGTTCGATAGATCAATTTCCTGAAAGATATTAATTAATTTATATATCATTTTATGACAGTGATATGATAAAATAATATATTTTTCAACAAAACAAATAATTAATTTTTTTAATTTTCCATTTTGTTTGCATTCGAAATGCAATAAAATAATTTGGAATTACCTGTAATGAGGTGAGAGCTCGAAATGTGCCCGGTTCTACCGATTGTATCATATTTTCATAGAGCAGCAAGTACTTTACCTTTTTGTAATGTTGAAATGAATTTCGTTTTAATTTTTTTATGCGATTGAATGATAAATCCAATATCTGTAATTAATTAAATAGTTACAAAATTATTGTGCTGCTTTAGGTAAATTTAACAAAATTGCTTTAATTAAAATTAATGAAATAATATGTGAAAATATCTGAAAAAGATAAAAGATAATTTTTGTTATGTATTGGTGAAATTAAGTCTGAACGTAAAAATAATTATTATTTCTTTAAAAGATTTATTAATTAATTAGACTCTGTTCTTTTATACTACTTTTTGTGGAAAATAAACAATAAACTAGAAATGTAATGAGGATAATTTTTCGCGAGATAGATATGTTTAACACATGTGAGACAGTGAAAATCTACAAGTAACTTCCAGATTTTCATCATATCCATACAACGTAACAAAGTTTGGTGTGGAAGTGTGATAGTCCCGTACAAATTTGACATAGGTTAGATTACTGGGGAAGTCCGAAAACGTACTTAGACCATGAGGTTCATTGTGATACCCTTAAGAATTTGACACCTGTCACTATACCCATTTAGTACTGGCCGCAAAACCTTTGAGACGAGCTAAGGAAATAGAATTCAGCTCTCTTAATGAATTGAAGAAGTGTGACCCTAAATAGGAGAATCTGTATCAGAAGGTGTGTTGGTCATTCCTCTTCGTCATCCTCCATGCAATGTCTACAGAACAAGGAGGTCTTGATATAGAGCTTCACAGCATGTTTTCCCAACGGGCAGTGTCTCGTAATAATTCCCACTTTCTGAGATCTATCTTAGATATAACTTAAATCTTTGATTTGACATAACAAATATATAGAACAATGTGTCAATTCCGGTACAACCTACCGGTACAGCCACATTATAAAGTGTTGAAGTTTCTCAGAATCAATACAACTAAAACTACAAACTTAAAGAATATGTGACATTTTTGTAGAATAAAAAGTAAGTGGTGGATCGAAAATGTATATCACTAATATTATAGGTGATATTTAAGAACTAACTGCATTTTGTAAATTCTTGAAAATCATATTTTTAAATTTAAGCTAAATATTTAAAGATACATTCTGAGTATTCTTCTAAACAAAATCTATGCCATAACTGGTTTTCAGTAAGTGATAGTGTGAATCATGCCCGCATTTGTCCACTTAAGTAACGCGACATGTCTTTGTGGGTTAATTAAGTTTAATTGAATATCGCTGAAATTTTGTTTGTGCTTATGACAAAATGCTTACTTAAGAAGAATATAGAATCTATTTTTGCTTTAGCTTGAATTGAATTTCTTTTGAATTCAAGTAAATTGACCTTTTAGAAACATCAACCACGTGGGATCAAATAAAATTTTAGCATAAACTCAGCAATTAGCTTATGCAAATCAACAAAAATCCATTTTCAAGTCAAAAATCAACTCTTGCATATATTTAAAATAAATGACAAAGTATTTAAAGATATATAATTTAAAAAAGTACTAACCTCGACACCTGTCCGAAGATATTGTGGTACTTCCTTAAGATTCATATCGTAACATTTTGCCTTTAGTAGTCGGTTCACATGCAAGTGAGTACAAGTCACCTTTTCTCCAGACACAACATTATCGAACGCTATCATCTGTCTCAGTAGAATAAGAAACACTATCCGAGAAATGATGATGCTAACTTCCATACTGCAATTGAATTGAGTAACTTGAATGAATTATATTTAATAAAAAGGATGAAACTTATAAATAAAATATATGATGAAATTTGGGCTCTTTGTGTCATATGTCTTTGATTTTAAAGTTTATTTGTAAAATGTGTATGAATGAGAGAGGATATTTGATACTGATATCTAAAAGGTAGCTAAAAACAATAAAAGAGTTAGTCGTGCGCTACAGTGCATGTGTGACACTTTTAGTTATCTATAAAGTTGATTGTTATTGCAGAGTAGAAAATATAAAATCATTATATTAAAATCATATATGAAATCATATATTAAAATATATTTTATTCAGAATTATATATTGTTAGTATAAATTTGTAAATTAATATCTTCTAAAAGGCTATAAAGTGACAAAGCATTGAAACTTTTTAATAAGATAGGTGTGCATTACAACACAAATCTATTTATGCTAAAGATGCATACTAACTATATGAAAGAAGAAGTTATATAGATACTCACACGCTTATACATTAAAAATCTAATAATTCTGAGCAGAGATATTTAACTATTATGTTCAACCGCACTATTGAGGTAAGGTGTTAAGTAAGGTTCTTGGTACTTACAATTTTAAGCTGTAGAGTAACTCTCAAATCTATTATACTCACATTTTCATAAATGTGCTTATTATATTCTTACTCGTAAGAAGAATTTAGAGAAAATTTTAGCGAACTCCAAAGTAATAAACATATAAATGTCAATGTCCTTTTAAATTTTGTAGTGAACTTGTTTATGTTTATTTAGGAAAATAGCATATTTATTTACATATAAAGAACATTTTAATTTTTTTTAAATACGCTATTCAGAATAAATTCATATTTAATGGAATTACACTAACTTTAATAATGTTTTGAATTTATATAGTATTGGAAGCAGTTATTAAAATTTAATAAAATTACGGAATAATAATATATATATTATAGAAAATGTATTTTACATTTTTTGCTTTAATAATCTTTTTAAAGTTTGTAAATAATCTTTTCAGTTTCTATTTTTAGTCCAACTAAAATGACATTAAAAAACTTTCGGTCACTTAACCGTCATTCTGATCAGAAGCTTCTAAAAAAGACCCAAATATTTAATTTTAGGCTAGTTGAATATACTTTCTGTTAATTCAAATTACATATCGTTTCTGTCGGTCATATCCTGATTAGAAGCTTCTAAAATAGACCCAAATATTTAATTTTAGGCTTGTCGAATATACTTCCTTTAAAGTCATTGGTTCAAAAAGTAACAATGCATTTTAATGATTTGCAATGAACTGCAACATTAGTTTCTTTATTAACTATAGTTCTTTATTAATATTCTATACTATTTAATATATAATAATTATTTACATTAATATAGTAATTTTAAACAATTCAACAATAATGTTGTATATAGCAAAATATATAATTTTGTTAAAGCATCCTTTAAAATTGCATTGTCATAACTAACTATATATAATTATAATAATTAATTAACCGTTGAATATTTCGTATTTAAAAATAAAAAACAATTTTAAATGCAAAGCTTCATTTGCTTATATAGAGAGTTATATTTATATATGTACGTCACCATTTCGTTTTATATACCTATACTCGTATATATGAGTGTAAATAAAATAAATTTAAATATCAGGGTGAGGGTTACAAAGTAATTACATCCCAGTGAGTACATCCAATATAACACACCTTGTGAAGAATTTTATTATGCAATTATCTCAATTCTTTCTCCGAATAAAATGTGGAACACTAAATTGTTTGTAATAAATTTCATTGAGTTGTGTGCTTCGATGAGGTGTAAAAACTACTTCGGCATGCTCCCCCGGATTTGGATGAATGGACTCCTCGATATGCTTATTTATTACATAGTTTGAACTTGACTGCACATCTGATGAATTGCTGCGTTGACATTTTAAGTAGATTCGTTAATTTGTTATTTCACATTATTTAGTGTTTATACGTATCTATCAACTTTTCTCAATGGGTGAGTAAGTGACTGCACAGTGGCTGTGCTGTAATTTGATGTTTATTTATTTTTGTAAAAAACCAAACAAAAGCTATAACAAAACAACAATAGAAATAATCACTGTGATAAATGGAGTATTTAAATAGTAGCACAATTTTGGCGGTTCACATGTTTGATTAAATATTGTGATCCGCCTACATTATCGCCAATGTATGAATCTACAATATATCTCTATATATGTGTATATAAAGTTGGATTTTGTGTGTGATTGATTTGAACGGTTTGTTGCAATCATTTTATTTTAAACATTATTTTATTTTATTTTAAATAAAATAAACACATTTTACAAATACATACATAAAAACATAAAAAACAAATTTTTAGTGATGAATTTAATTGATACAAATCCTGATAAGTGGTAGAAAATAAAAGAAATACAACAGACTTATTAAGTAGTTCGGTTAGCAGTTACAACATATTTTTCATATATACCTCTAGCTCAAAAAGTACTTGGATTTTGTAAATAAAACACACAAATTTTAATTTTATTCCAAATTTATTTTATCTCCTTCAAAATATGCTCCTTCAAAAGGCTTACCACGAAGGGGCAATTTGAGTTTGGGGAAGAGGAAAAAGTCTTACGGATCCAGATCTGGTGAATATGGTGCCTGAGCGATGACAGTGGTGCCGTGTTTGGTCAAAAAATCGTGTACAACAAGAATTTTTCATAGTAAAAATCGCTAAATCCACTTAAGGTAATCTCACATTAACAGCTGCTAATTAACAAAATTAAACAAACATTAAACAAACTAATTGACAGATGGCGCTCAAATTTGTACCATATGTCAAGAAAGGGTATACCAACATAACAAAAAAATTTTTGAAAAAGGTCTATTACTTAAGGAGTAGTTAACAAACAACAAAATCCGGATATTTTTTGAGCAGAAGGTAAACACAGTTTGTTAGAATGATGAAATGTTATTATTTTGCTTATTTAACTTATTGACATTAAACTTTTTATTTTATTTATAGCCATAAGTTCTATTATATTACAACATTATGTATTTACTATTTATACCAAGATTGTCCAGACCAAATGCGATCGTAAGCCAATACAAATCAATGTACAAATTGGAGGGCCACAGAAACAAATACATATATACAGTTTAGCACCATTTTTCAGTTTAGCACCATATAAGTTTGCGGTTTTTGACTAATTTAACGATGGTAATAGCAGATTTTATCTTTTTCCAAAACTAATGATTTATATGTATTGTGACCACAAAGATTCGTTTGCCTAGATGGCCTCTCAACACTTTCAGTTCTATTAATAATTTTAGCTACTTCTGTGGTTCTCCTCTTGTTCTAAACAGAACATATTTAATCTGACCTCTGAACCTTTCTAACTTTGCCAATTGCTTTATCTAAGGATTATGTGCCCTCTATTATTAATGCTTCCTTCGCCTGTAGTTTTATTTTTTAGACAGTCAGATTCAATCTGTCTCTCTTCAATTTTTATTATTCTGCCTCTTGCTTTGCTCAATCTTGCCATGCATTGAGTCCCCTTTACTGTTGCTATTATAACATTTATGGTGGATTGTTTTCTTTGTACCCATAATAAGAATATTTTTCATTCCATATCGACTTTTGTTTTGCCATAATTCTGTTCATTTTGTAATAGCTTTCCGAAATATCTACTCTTTGAATTATAATTGCAATTCAAATTGCAAAAAGGAAAATATGGCAATTCATGAAAAGTAATGACTTATATTATTTTTCTGATCAAAGCATTTTTTGCAATTTTTTTATTTGTCACAGTTTTATTTCAAACTTCCGATTACAATAATCAAAATGCTATAGGATTTTTTTAGTTTAAAGATGTAAAAATGTAAAATTTCAATGGCACTTTAGAAAAGGGACTTTATTCTTAATATATACATTCTCAGAGTTTTATCTTATAAAAATGAAATTAAATTCATGATTAATAAAATTTAAACCCCGTACTATATACAAAAAAAAAATTGTGATTTCAGTGGAATTATATGTTCTTTTATTGTATTTATTCGGTTTTGTTCTATCATTTCGAAACGTCTGTTCATTGTTTATAAATCCAAGTAGATTATTTAGTAGACGTAGACGTATGTTTCCATATCAATCAGACTTCAATCTACATACATAAATTAAATTTAATGCACTCTCTGCGTTTATTTAAAATAAAATTTTTGCTTCTTTCATTGTAATTTTATACTTTTTTGAAAAATCATGTTGACTAATTGCTGTAATTTGTTTACGTGTATTTTATTGCATTAAATGCAATTGTATAAATGCAACGAATCATTTAATTTGTTTATACTGTTAAAATTTTTTAAAATTTTTGTTCGCATAGAATTTCATTACGGTTCATATAAAATACATAAATATTTTTATAAAATGTGTTTTATTTAAACAATAAAAACTATTCGCAATTCGCAATTCGCAATCAATTAATTAAACTCCTTAGCGAATTTACAGAATTCACCATCAATTGCTTTTATCAATTATATTTTGTACTGCAATCAATTAAAATTGTAAAAATTAAAATTGATAATGAAACTATAAATATTTTATACTAAATTACTTATAAGCCAATCGTTTATTTGTTAATACTATTAACTTATAGCAACTAAATGATGTATAACTAAAACTAAACTAATCAATAACGTGCGTTATGTGATTATATTGTGCAAAATAAGCCAAAAGAAATACAAAAATGCTTTATTATTTATTTATTTATTTATATCTATCTATAAATTTAAAACGGTTCTAAAAGTAAGAAGGAGTTGTTGCAGGAATCTCGCTCGCGCTTTTTGTGACCAACCTAACTAAAGGGTTAAAAAAAGCGCCCATATTTAAAAATATACAAAAAGTCAAGCAGAAATTAAAATTCTTTGAAAATCTTGGTGGACTGCTACAGCAACTGTTAAGCAAAAATAGAATTAATGGTAACGAAACAGCAGATAATCTCACAAGGACTTTTTTCAATTCCCGAAGTTGAAATTATTACTTCGAGAAAAGCGTTTGGAATCGATTGAGATCTTAAAAGAATACGCTGAAAGAATTGAAGGCCATTGTTTGGTTAGCCTATGTCACTTCGGTTAAGCCCAAGCATGATTGTATTACAATCCAAGGCGACAAATAATTTTTAATAGGTTAAAGATGGTTTTAAAAATAAATTATTAATTTGAGATACTTTGCACATAGATTGTATTACTCAAATATTCTGTTTACTGTTTTTTAGGAGAACTTGTTATTGTGATTGTAGATAGAGAAGGTCTTAAATAAAATATAATATTAAATATAATAAATAATAATTAATATAAATTTAACAATTTGAATTGCTGACACATTTAATTTCTTTTTGTTATATGGGTATCTGGTATCAACGAATTTAAAGAATATTAGGTGAATGCACAACTGCAAAACAGTGCCGTTTCACAGAAATGGTTTGAGAAAACATACATATATATGTGAGACTTTTTTACTAAACATTTCTTTAAATATTTGGAAATTTGGCTTAAAGTGAGCTTATAGGTTTTTTTTAATATAAACATATATGTCTTGCATTTTACCAGAAAGTTTAAAAAAGTTCAGTTAATACAACAGATATAATTAAAGTCACCCAATTTCTCTAGATGTATTTAGATGTATGTTATTGGTATGTTTTTAAAAAGATATGAATGAAATTTCCTTTGTATTATTTAAAATTTTGTGATGGAATGTCTTTGCATAAATGTAAAAATATAAATATACATGTACAGGCATATATTAATTGGCTTCGTCAATCTCATCAACAATATATACACTTTATTTATAATTTAGCATAATTATTTTTGTTATAATAAAATATATATAAAATTATATTAATTATGAAAGTCGTTGACATTAGTACAGTTATGTTCCGACTGTTTTATTATACACTTGCACCTGACTATTAAGAAGCTTATCCTTAGCAATTTATATCGAATAATAGTTTTATTATTTTTATTTTATATTTTATATCAATTTTCAAACACAATATTTATTACATAACACAATAAAACAGCAATATCAAATAGGAAGATAACCGTATGATTTTAATAAAACTATAAAAACTTTATATTATAAAAGTTTTAATTATTATGTGTTTATTTATGATAATAAACACATTAAATTTTTCAATTATAATAAAACATAATTTGTGTATCACTCTTTTAATGTTGAATTATTAACTGAAATATATTTTTAAAAATACACATAGATTATAAATCATACAAATATTAACATTAAATATATCTTAAATGTTATTAAAATTAGATAACATTCATATTCGAAACTGCTTACAGTGAAATGTTACTAACAGAGCATTTACTTTTAGTGTGAGCAGACACTTGCACCATTTTTTATTGCATTTTAGCGTTTATTAAACACTATGTACTGTATAGAGTAAAATATACAAACAATAATATACAAACGGAAAAACTTCTAGAGGTTCTACATATTTTATTGCATGTATTTAATAAAGTATGCATGTGTTTGTTATAAAAATTAACGCATTTAATACTACTACGACTCAGAGTTATTATTTTATGCGTTTATCAAAAGATAAGTACATTCCCCAATAACTGTTTTTGATATGACTAACAAATCTTAACATTTTATTTTCTTAATAAAAATGACAAAGTTAACATTTACTTAAAAAGTTAACGTTGACAATTTAAAATTACAAATAAACAAAACTTGAGATACACTAAATTAATTAACAGGAAAGTTTATAATAAAATTTATAAAATTAATCATATGAATCATATATTATTTTTAAAGCAACGATGTATTTAATAAAAAAAATTGAAAATTGAATTCATGACTAAGAAATAATCGAATTTTACCAAATTTCGAAATAACTTTAACCATTTTATGGACTAACTATAATTATTACATGAAATTAAGGATCGTGAAACTAATATTTGCATAAATATAGCTGAAAATAACTGTTAGCCTTTTCAAACAAATATGGAAGTGTTAAACTAAAAAGTAATGTATATGTT